TTACAACTAATCGTATATATATATATATATATATTGAAAACCTACAAATCCCGCATTTTGAAAATTTAGTTGTTTGATCAAAAGGAATTGAAATTCAATGTAAATTTACACATTTGAAATTTAATCTTTCGGTCTATCTTCTTTGAAGTTGAAATTAATCAAATTTGATTCAATTTCAAAACAACAACTTAATATAAATTATTGTTGGGCAATACCACCGCTCACTGACCATGGCCAGCCATCCACAATTATCGTTGCCCATGGTCACCATTACTACCGGGAATCGCCACAGTCTTTGAGAACTACAGTTGAATACCACCGTTGTCGTCGGGAATCACCGCCTCCAACTAACTTTTGTCGCCACAATCACCATCACCACCGACCGCCACCATTATCCGCCTTTGCAACCTTCCACCCCCAGCAAACACATTATTTGAAATACATTATTTTAATTTTACTTTAAACTAATAAAAAAAATTAATTTTAGTTCAAACCAAAAAGAAAACAATCTTTATTTATTTTACGATTAACTTAAACTAACTCCAAAATATTTCAATAATAATACATTACTCCCGAATAACTTTTAGTCTAAACTGGATTATTTTTACGACTAATTAAACAATAATTAATTTTTATACTCAGGAAAGAGATCGCATAGCTTTATATATAGTTTTTTATGCTTTACTTTTCTGGAGTAAAGAATTTCGACATCATACCCAGCCACCATACCTAACCGTGTTTTCCACTTGCCTAACAATGACTATGGGGCATGGCTCACCAACCAAACCCGGCGCTGAAAAGCCATATTTATGTTTTTTAAATTTATTTAAATGCGATATATATATATATATAGATATTAAATTTATATTTATACAATCGCAATTGATTCTACTATATATATATATATATTATAATTAGTGATAGTTCACTCTCAAACTATAGAAATAATGACAGCAATCATGATAAAGAAAAAAACAATAAAATACTCGTATGGACTTCTGCTTCGCATGATTTATTCAGCAGTACTTCTAGATATAATATATCTAATGCATTTTCATTATTTTATAGCCCATATAACTCCAAAAAATATTTAAAAGCTATTATTTTTCACTGTAAAACACTTTTAATATAAAAGTGGCAGTTACCTACATACCACACAATTTTTCTGTATTTACATATTCACACCTAAACATACATATTTTTACGCACAGCACTCAAATCTTTAACATCACACCATTACCGTTTTAAAGGTAAAATAAATTTTTTTATGCATAAATTTATAACATCAAGACGTTATAAACTATCGCACTTCAGGTTTTAGATATACAAATACATAAGAATTCTGTGATATGTGTATGTAAACTTCCCAGCATAAACATAAGAAAATATTTTTAAAAATAGACTGATAATAATAATAGAGTATTAGTTCTGATTCCAGCTTTGAAAACCTAAGATTACAAAGGAGCAAGTTTCATAAATTATTGCAGAGAATCACTTTTAGCCAAAAAATTACTCTTAAAAAATCATTAAACTATAGACTATAATCCAAATTTGGAACAAATCATATTCTTCAGAAAGCTTATATAACACGGACACGCAGCATGTTCTGTCAAATCAAACTTGCACAGCATTTTCCCATCAAACTAAAGCTAACACACCAACCTTTTATAACACTACACAAAAGAATAAAAACAACTGCTCTTCCTCTAAAAGACAACTGGACCCTCCATCTAGTTTCTATGTAAAAATTCAATTTGAATCTATATTTGCAGATGTGACCTACAAATGTTACTTGTATGAAATTAGGAATATATCCCCGTAAGAAGTCATAACCAGATCACTCATTACAACCACAAGAACAAAAAAAATAAAAAATAAAAGAGTTGGCACCCTTTACACACAAGAGAAAAATCTACAAAACTAGCAGAGAAAATTTTACAGTGCTTCCGAATTGGAGAAAAACAAGGAAATTGTGCAGTTTAGAGCAATGAAGTGACTTAACTGCAGAAAATAACTAAACACACAGGCTGAATAACATTGCAGCATCATTCTCCGGGCTTTTTTAGTTGCTTAAAGATACAAGGCATACTTCCCAAAATAATGATTTTTTTGTTTCAGTCATTCTGCGCATGAATAAGAAATCATCTTACTATAGAGATTTATTTTTGAAGATATTTTTCAAGTTAAAAATCAATATTGGATTCTAAGCATATCCAATCAAATAATGGAACTAACAAATTCATTACTATACAAAACACGAACTTCAAGCAGAGCCAAATGTCCCCTTAGAGAAAATCTTCAGGAACACAAAGGAACACAAATCATGAGTAGCACTGAAAAGTTCCACAGACAACTACATACAAACAATACATAAATATATATCCTCCATGTTCTAAGCAACGCATCACATATAAACACTACTATATAAAGTTTTAAGGGATGGAACCTCAAATTTGTTCCAAAGAACACAGTTCAATGAAACACATCACAGCTGGCTAACATTTCTGGTTCTCCATTTTAATTCCATAAAAATGAACCCTGAAAAACAAAATATTTACGCCAATAAATATAATTTCTGGTAAGATAAGAAAACAATTAAGATTACAAAAAGGTTCTCACACTTATCTCGTTATCTACCGCAATACCTTAGCAGGTTAAGATGCCTTTAGAAGACACCTTCTGCCATTGGTGTATCCTCAAAGCTCCAAAGGTTCACGAAATTGATTCCATCTTGAGTTAAATCAGCACCAAGAAGAAAATCAAAGGATAGATCTGAGCCTCCTTCAAGGAAAGGCTCGAACTTCATATATGGCTCGAAAGCTGACAACTCGTCGGAGAGTTCTATTGCAGCATCCTGATCAGCTGAAACTGCCTCACCAGAATTGTTTTTGAGTTTCTTCTTCTGTTCGCTTTCTTCCAGAAATCCAGATTCTAGATTTTCAACAATGGAAGCAGGAATTGATGTGATCTCAGGCATATTAGCTTCATGTTCCCAGCCAAAGTCTGAGGAATTCAGAGAGTTGCTTTCCTGTTCAGAGAGGAAATTTGGAACTTCCTGAGAAGGGGAGAGAGCTTTCAGAGTTGGTGATGAAGTAGCTGGTTCGAGCTTCAGGAGTTCCACTTTCCCAAGCCCTGGACTAGAGGTTGCATTGTAATATGCATTTGGAAAACCAAACACTTGATTGAAATTATATTCATTGGTAAGATCGTAAAGTTTAGGTTTCTGTGTTTTTGGTGCATTTAATTTCACATGATTCTGAGCAGCTTGGGGGAATTCATCAGGGAAGTTGACTTTTGCTTTCTTACCCCGAATTCTACGAGCAGCAGCATCATAAGCTCTGGCAGCCTCCTCAGAAGTATCGTATGTCCCCAGCCAGACCCTCTCGCCTTTGCGAGGATCTCTGATTTCTGCCGCCCATTTACCCCATGGGCGCTGACGGATTCCTCTGAATTGGTTCTTTCTCTTCCTTTTGGCCAACTTTTCAGCAGGTCCATCAAGTTGTGGCCTCTTTTTAATGTTTGATCTCTCTTTAACTCCTTGGGGTATAAAAGAAAAAAGGAATTGTTTGAAATAAAAAGTATGATGGCATGGTTTTGTGTATGAAAAAATTCATTCATGAAACAAAAAGAAATAAAGACAATAAAAATTCAAGCAAGCTTGCATGATGCCTCAGAGGATCAAAGATAAAGCAAATATAGGATCTCAATTTTTGCGCTTATATTCTTCAGATTAACTTTATCTCAGTGGGACAGAAAATATCAGTTTAAATACTCCCGTTTGCCTGATTCCTCTCATGAACAAAAATAAGTTTTGGCCGCAGCTAATCATAGGAAAAGTCAAAGCTTGTATTGGGAAAAAAACGAAATAAAAATTAACTCCTACAAGTAAACTGAAGATTTGTTTTCTGTTCTCTTTCTAGGAAGAAAAAAAATCAGAATAGAAGTTTATGAAGTTCCTCCTCTCTTCAGATTAACTTCATCTTAGTGGGAGAGAAAACATCAGATTAAGTCCTCCTGCTTGTCCTCCTCCTCACCTAAGGAAAAATATGTTTTTTACTTCTCAAAAAACAAAAGAAGTTTTCAGCCAAGCTAATCTTAGTAAAAGAAAAAAACCCGTACGATGAAAGAAATTAAGTTAAAATTAACTCCTACAATTAAACTGAAGCTTCTTCTTCTCCTCCTCTTTGGATACATCTGTGATCTGACTACATCTAATTATATAAAACTAAGAACATATCATCCATCAAAATTAAAAAAAGTTAAGATTGATGAGATATCATAATATCACGGGAACAAATCGGATACCATGATGAAAATTAGACTTTATATCACTAATTAAACAAATCTCCTAGGTTGCACTCCAACATCAGGAAATAATTAAGCTAGATTAATAGAAGCAAAGAAAAAATGGCCTCAAAGAACAAATTTTTGCCTAAGGTGTGAATCGTTGAGATTTCAGTTATTAGGATAAATGCTTATTGAAAATATCAAAATTGAAACTTTCACATATATAACCTCTGAATTTTAAAAAATAGAAAAAAACTTAGATTGCAAATAAGTTTTGTGAAAATCTTTTGGTTTGTTGAAGAAAATCCACAAGAACTGGCTTCGGAGAGAACTGCCTTTGATGGGAGTGAGAATATACGGAATTAAACAAATCTCCTAGGTTGCACTCCAACATCAAATATACGGAATGTTAAATATACAGAATGTTAATCAAAAGTCATGTTAAATCGATTAGCAAAGGCTTATACTCACCACCGTGCTCTTTGCAAGATTTAAAAAAAAATAGGAGAACATCAGTTTCATACCGATATAATCTTAATAAAAGCGAGATCACTAAAGATTAACTAAGAGAACATCAGTTGCAAAAAGAACCTTCAAACCCCAGCAATATAAGAAAAAAAGATAAAGAAATCCAATACAGAACGGGACATATCAAGTACTAGGATCAGATCAAATATGTCAGGATTGAGCCTGTAAAGCTCCAAAAATAAGAATCTGAAAAATCAAATGATTATTGACGGATGAAATCATGGATGCTTCTTCATAAAAAAAACTCTATCCTGCATATATATTAGCAAGCAAAATAAAGAAAAAAAAAACACGAAAATCCTACAAAATCGCACTGTATACTTCAACATGCATGTCATCAAACCCTATTCTCAAGCTCCTCCTCCAATTAATCATAGGGTTAAAATCCAATTTACACAATATTAATACTTAGCAAGAAACCCAATAACCTTCCCCTCCCCCGCTGAACAATATCGAATGGAAATCATTGATTAAATCAAAGAAACATACTAATAAATAAATATTAGAAGCCCATAACGAGCGTCCTTCCTATGAACTTCATGGGACAACAAGGAAATAATTAAGCTAGATCAATAGAAGCAAAGAAAATAAGTTTTGTGACAACCTTTTGGTTTGTTGAAGATGATTAAAACTAATTGTAAACACAAAAAAAGAGGCAACATGCTTACCTAGGGATAACGGCGGCCCATTTGAGCGGAACGCGAACGGCTTCACCTCGATCAGTTCCTCTTCGTCATCCACATCAACCGCTTCGTTAACGTCAGTCTCGTCCTCAAATTCCCGAAAATCAGCCTCGAAATCATCTTCATACGCCGCCCGTCGAATCTTTCGGCTTCCCTTCTTCTTCTTCCTCAGATCCGGCCAGAGATAGTCGGCGGTGACCCTCTGTGGCCTCGCTGTTGCGATGTAATCCGAGATAATCGCGCCCCCGCACATACCGAAATGAACAAGAAAACTCCACTTTGCTGGTTTCTTGGAAAAAAAATTGCGCTGCACGAACAGCTATAAGAGCGCCGCCTGTAGGTACTGAACTGCTAAAAATGTGTGATTGGAGGAAAAATAATCTTATCTAAAGTGAAATTATTACAATTCTAAGGTGTTAATATGCAAAATGCGTACCACTTCTCTTGTGATTCAATGAGAATATACTCAACAAATTTTCTAAGTAATACACCCTTAGCTTAGGAGCATTAGCTCAATGGTCATTATCCCTTCCTTGTTGTGTTCAGTTTATTTTAATGTAGGTTTATGGACCATAGTTATGTGGGATTGAGTTTCAAATGAGTTCTTGAGTTGTGGTGATGTTCTATTTATTTTAAATTTGTTTTTAAATAATGTGAGTTATTAATTAGATGTATGAACGAGAATTTTTGAGTTTGGGTAATTAAGGAGTTTGAAAAAAAAAATTTGTGCTTATAAGTAAGTCATAAATATTTGAGCTCTCATCTTGCTAGGCAAAAAAAATGTCTTAAATTAGCTTGAGTTCCAACTCCTTCTATCTCAACTAATTAGCACGAAGAGTTTGCTTATTTATTTTATGTGCTAGCATGCTTGTAAATTTAAAAATTTTAAGGAGGTGTTTGCAAAAGAAAACAAAAAAAAACTTAATTATTGCAACATCAAACTTCCATAAACCTTAAATTTTTAATCTTTGCTTTCTCATATTCCTTAATAGTACATCTTCACTACCTCTTTCTCTTTCATCTAATTTAGAAGGGCTTCGTTTTTTTTTTCCCCAACTGAGTTGTCATTTGTTATACCGATGATGCTCATTTTATGGTGTATTGTTATCTTCTTTACCTGCAGTACTAACAACTTTGTTGTTCTTGAGGTGTTATCAGATATCATATTTGTTTTTGACTTCTGAGATTTTTATCATTCTCATTTTTCTCTTTTCCTTCACTACTTCGAATATCTTTGTCGTTGTTGGGGTCTTATGTGATATATATCATTCTCTCTTCTTCTCACCCTTCCATTAAACGAGCTTGCATACCGATCATTATGTTCTTCATCATTGAAAAGATATTGCTTCATGTATGATTGCAAGGTTAAGCTCAACAATTAGTTCATCAAGCTTTTCTTGGTTTACAAGTTTAAACTTGAGCTTTGAAAGCAAGCTGAACTCGAACTTGAGCAATAATTCAAGCTAAAGAAAAGGATGTGTGAGTTCTTACAATCATGGTTTTTACCCGACTCAACTTAAATATATATTGAAGTTAGTTTTTTATGCACATCATATCTTTTTTTAGTATTATTATTTTATTAAAATAAAAATGATAATATAATTCATTATTCTAATAAATTAATTTCATTCTACCATTTTAAAAAGCAAAATTAAAAAATTAAATAAAATTTGACTTTCAGGTTCCAAAAAGATGTTAAATGAATACATGATTTATTTATTTATTTTAAGAAGAATTAAACATGACATTATTACACTTATATGGTAAAATACTATAAAGTAATAATTCTGATTGTGTGTTCGAAAATTTATGACATTAGAAAGAGTATTTTATGACCTAGCTTTGTACAACTTTTTTGCATATGCACAAGTGATAGCCATCAAAGCTAGAAACAACACAAGATCCACTCTTAAAATTCAACATGTTTTAGAAGAAAAGATTTGAAATAATTTACTTAAAATTTCACCTTTCTCGTGTTGGACTTGAAAATATGAGACGAGCTCTTAATGATTCTTTAATTAGCAATAAATTGTATAATGATGTTCAAAAAATTATGGATAATCATATCCGAGAAAGAAATATAATCGAGTATTGGCTTAATACTTGAGTGTAGTGGGGGAGAGCTGATAAAAGATTGTATCCAAAGCCTACAATATATGAATAATGGTCATGTAATGATCATTACACTCATAGAGATCGGTAGACCCATCGTAATGATTGATATCATAAATCTTAAATCTCACCAATATTAGATGTTAAAAGGTTTCATCATGGAAGGATAGAAACTCTTGGAAGTTGTGTTACATAGTATGATGAATCTTTCAATTATAGAAAATCCTTCTTGAATTAAACACCATAGGTCATCATATATGATATAATAAGGGGTATTCATAAGGTGACGTAGAGTTATGTCCATCATGGCTATTGAAGGATACAACTCAATTGATCAAAATGAGTAGGATAAGTTGAACTAGTAGTATCAAAGGTGTTTGGATCAGGTTGTGGTGGAAGAACCTTAACTTAATGGAGAGTGGACCTCATGACTAGCACTAAAGATAAGCAATGTAGTGGGTGGTGAGAACATCGATCATGGGGTGGCAATCTGATGAGAATGAGGTGTTTTTAGCTTAAAAATAGGAGAAAATTAGATAATAATGAAAATCAGATAATGATAATTGGATAACTATATTCAAATGATAATGTATAAGTGTTCAAAATTGAATGATGGTGGTGGTCGGATGAACGTAGTCGAACTATGATTGATGCATCATGATGAATAGGAGATGATATTTTGGTGACAGTAGTCGATTGTGGTCATCGATGTTGGTAGATGGGCAAACACATAATGTTTTTTATATCTCTATGCTCTCTTTAAATGCAATGTCAAGGTACCACGGTTGACAGAGGAAATAGCTTCAAGACACTACTTTCCACAGTACAATGGCACCATGGGATACTGGGTATCTCTGGGTCTCTTAGGGAATGTAGTGGGTAAGGGTAGCGTCCTACCTTAAAGGCTTTCTCTATATATACAGACATATAATTAGATCTTTATAGCAAAACTAGGGGCTCTAGAAAAAATGGAGAGTGGGACAGAAGAAGATACTCTTGTAAATGAAATTGAGGTAGGTTTCCAACTTGCCACTCCTTATCGTGAGATGTCCAAATTGATATAGGGAAATGTCGATGAACTTTCACCTTAGCATTGATGATTCTAAGAGAAGTGGAAAATAAATCTCTTTCTTCTCTTCTCATTAAACTTTTCAAGTACAGTGACTCTCTCTCTCCTCTCTCTCTCTCTCTCTCTCTCTCTCTCTAGCAAGTTCTCCCTCTCTCCAAAGAAAACCAACTCTTTCTCTCATAATAACCCCCTTGTCTCTAATAGCTCCAAAACTCCCCCAAACTTCAAGAAAACTTTCTAATCCCTCGTTCTCTCCTATCTCTTTTAGGAAGATAAATATTCCCTATAGTTATTATTCTCTCCCTATTAACAAATTTTTCCAACTCTCCCGCCATAGCCCTTAACTCATCCCTCCTCCATTAGCTCTTCCTCCCTTTCTCTCTCTTTCAACTGCGACCTATCTCCTCAACCATTGGACTAAATCCTTCTTTTACACTCTCACTCTCATCATCTTCTAAAAGAGGATATATTTTTTAAGAAAAAAATTTGGGCATCTGTGTCATTGTGCTACATAGTGCAATACTGTGGCACTACACCTCATCATGTTTCATAATTATCAAATTGAAACAACGATACTATGGAACTAATCTATGACACAACACAACATTATAAACATGAGTACATATATGCTCGAGACAAAGAGTGTGTCACTGTGCCAACCGTTGGTGCTGTAATGCTAAAAATATGAAGATAAAAAATGTGGCACCAACCATCGGTGCCACAGTGCTTGAAATATGAAAGGAAAAAATCCACTTCACAACAAAAAATTTAATGTTAAGTCTCTGTTCTGAAATTTAGGGCGAAGAAAAAACAGGAATCGACACAAATCTAGAAGAAGAACACAGAGATTTAACGTGGTTCGACAAAGATGTCTACATCCTCAGGAGCAGAGCGGCGAAATTCACTATTTTAGAGGAGTTACATACTCATAGGATTACACATCTATTTATAGACAAAACTCATAGATAAATTTACAAACACGCCCTCGCTCCCCCCAACCCACTAATCCAAGTGACACACCTCTTCACACCAAGAACACCAAGAGACACACCTCATTCCAGGAGACATACCTCTCCAAATCCAATAGACTCCAAATTACTGGTATATGAGTCATACCTAACAGACTCTAGATATGAACATTGTGGTGTTGCAAGGAACCTAAAAATGCTGATCAAATTGGCTTTTCATGAAGGAATCGTTTGACGTTGACCCATTATTACGACCAGACAGACACTAGAGAGCAAAGTGCTCAAGCACCATAGTTATGTCACCATAATAGGTTCAATTCTAGCACATACATCAATATCATCAAAGTAGCAAACAATTCAATCCCTTAATATATGTGTTACATAAATAAAACTAATGCCAACTATTTCAAAAGTTTCATTCTCTTCAATTTGACTTCTCAAGAATAATTGGAAAATAAAATTTTCTTTAAATATCAATTTTATAACACTGCTAAAATATCTAAAGTTACTAAGGATCATCAATGATGGTTATTTAGACAGTTTCTTCTGTGGAATATTTTTCTAATACAGAGTTCCACAAAGATCAAGCTCATATTTTATTCTTCCAAATCTGATATTTCAAATCAATTTCCATATGATCTAATATGTCCCCATCAGATTGATTGAACAAACAAAGGCATCCACGTTGGATTGAGATAATATCGTGAACAGAAAACTAAGTGGGGACAACATGATTAACTTGAAAAAATATATATAATTAATATTTTCCTAAACTTATTTTAATCATATGTATAACATAAGCAAATAATATAAATTTACTGAATTTTCCTTCTGAACCCGATGGGTGAGAAATGGTTTGGCTCATATGACTTCACTCGATTGATCAAGCGGACCTCACAATCTCCTAATAATGGGCCAGCCTTTATTGTACTCTTCCCTTCTAGACCTTTTGATCTCTTTAAGATCAATGTTGACACATTTTAGACGTACAACATTTATTCGTCAGTCAATTGTCAATGCTTGGTTGCCATGTTACCTAGTTACTCTATACTTTATTTGCCAAAATCACAAAAGATCGTTATAGTATTGCAATATCAACTTTGTATTATTTTTTAATTAAAAGGGAAAAATAGAATCTTAATCAATATAATAGATTATTTATTTGTGTTATGCCTTTTTCAATAATTTGCCTAGACTAAAGGTCTGT